AAAACCACTTATAAAGCAAATAGCTCAAAAACAAGAGCATGGAAGTTAAAACCTAAGGAGTAAGTAAATAACATGTTTTATTATAATAGCCTATAACAATGTCAGTTTTATGCAGGGATAGCTTTTAAATGAGGAAGGTTTATATAAGCCAGTGATATACAATACCAAGGACATTTATCTGTAGGATAAAAACACATGCTTAAAAAAATATTAGAGTCACTGATTAAAACATCTCATGTTAAACCGGGCAACTGGCAATTGTGAAGTGCTTGCAAAAAGCCACATAAACAAATTACATCTGCAAACAATGAAAAATCAATTGCAAAGGGTCTTTGGGCTGGTTGTTCAAACTTTATCTATCAATTGGTGGGAATAGAAAAGTTTCATTCTGGATAACCCAGAACCTGTTCCTGTGACTGCCATACAATTAATTGATTTGCATACACCCTGTGTGGGATGTCCTCAAGTTTGTTTCACTGTAGAATATATTCATTTCCAGTTGTGCTATGGAAAGAATATTTGCATTGGGTAAAATATTTAGTTATAATTAGAAAGGAGCAAATGGGGGGAAATTGTCTTTCTCTGCATGTCCAAAATGATAACCACTAGCCATATGAAGCTATTTAAATTTAAAATGATTAAAATTAAATACAATGAAAAATTTAGTTCCTAGACACATTTCAGGTGCTCAGTGTGTCTAGCAGCTACCATATTAGAACAGTATAGATATAGAACTTTTCCATCATCACACAAATTCTATTGGACAACATTGTTCTAGAACATGAAAAACATGTCATTTCCCCACAATCATAGTAGAATTACAGCCGAAAGAGCTCTTACAGGAATTAGTATTGCATTATCTGAGGTTTGTGTTTACACATAATTTTGTCAACAATATTGAACAGTATGTTACAGTAGTTAGATGCTAGGGCTTTGGGGTAAAATAGTCCTGCATTTCCGTTTTAGCTCTAACTTTTACTAAATTGTGTGACGTTAGGCATGTTACTTCACTTCTCTGTACCCTGTATTCTCATTTTTAAAAAGGTGGCGACTGGGAGATAATAGTATCTACCTCGTAGGGTTATTATGAAAGATTAAATGAGATAAGCCCAATATCTGACACATGTGATCTATAATATTTATAGAATAATTCTTGGAATTACTCTTTAAGTCTAGAAGATTAACTTCGCTTGTTCTATGACCTAGAATCTAGGTGACCAGTAGAAAAGGCAATAGGGAACATTCAAACTTATGAGCAAAGGAGTCAGTCCCTAACAGGGCTGCCCTTTGACTCTCCAAAGATAAACAGCAACCATGCTGTTCCTCCATAACTTGGGGCCAGAGACAAAAGAGATGTGACCTTCTACCTTAGCGATCTATTTGTCTTGCAGCTTTCAAAAAGTCAAGGGGTACCTCACCCTTAGCCTTAAGGGACTCAGAATTCAAAGTTAACTGCCGTGTCATAACAAATAAAATAAAAGCACAATACACTGTGTATAAAAGAAGGTTACCCAAACAAGTCACTCAGTAGGAGAGGGACTTGTAGTTGTCTTTCCAGCTGTTTCTAGCAATCAAATCCAATTCCTTGATATAATATTATGGTGAAATGTTACTATAGCCAATCCTTTGTGAATACCACACAACAGGCCTGTTGCACCTCTGTAATCAACTGGATAAATATTTATTAAACATCTATTACATATAGGACACATTTGTTCTACACTAATCATCAGCGAACTGCATCTAGCAAGCTGAATTAAGTACACTTTTTGTTTTTTGAATGATAAGCAAGGTAGGAATGACTTTCACATTTTGAAACTTGGAAGAGTTGCCCTCAACCACTGTTATCAAACACTGAATGGCTCTGGAAATTAGCTTTTGCTACAGACTTGATAATGTTTCTTAATTAATTCAACCTAAAATTACAAGGCAAAACAGCACTTATATGTGAAATTTATACTGTAGGAAAGTCATTTCAACAACTGACATTGTCTGAATCACAAGTGAAGACATGCTTTATACACTTCCCACGTTGTCATAAGTCAAAGCAACAAATTCACAATTAGGTATCACTTCGCATTCACTAGAATGAATATAATAAAAAAGACAGATGTTAACAAGTGTTAATAGAGATGTGGAGAAATTCAAACCCTCATACATTGCTGGGGAAATGCTACAGTTTACTTTGGTAAGAACTCTGGCAATTCTTCACAAAGATAAATATAGAGCGACAATGTGGCCCAGCAATTCCGCTCCTAGATATATACCAAGAGAAATAAAACATGTCTGCAAAGAAACTTGTTCATGAATGTTTACAGCAGCATTATTCATAATAAATAAAAGTAGAAACCACCCAAATGCCCATCAACTGATGAATGGATAAATAAAATGGGGGTATAGCCATAGAATGGAATAGCATTCAGCCATAAAAAGGAACGAAGTACTGATACATACTAAAATTTGGATAAACTTCAAAAATAATATGTTAAGTGAAAGAAGCCACACACAAAACACCACATATTGTATCATTCTATTTACATGAAAGCCCAGGAAATGAAAATCCAGAGAGACAGAAAATAGACTGGTGGTTGCCTAGGGCTGGGAGTGGAAATGGGGAGTGACTAAAAATGGGCATGAGGTTTCATTTTAGAGTGATGGAAATGTTTTAAATAAGACTGTGGTGATAGTAACACAATTATAAAATATACTAATAATCATTAAATTGCACACTTGTAAAAAGTGTACAACACTAAAAGTATGGTCCATAAAAGAAAGAAATGATAAATTGGACCCTATCAAAATGAAAACCTTTCTCACTTCAAAAGACACCATTAAGAAAATGAAAAGACCAGCAACAGACTGGGAGAAAATATCCACATATCATGTATCTGACAGAGACTTGGATATAGAATACATAAATAATTCTTACAACTCAATAAAAAGAGAATAAAGAATAACTCAACTTAAAAATAGAAAAACATATATGTACAGATACTGCACTGAATAAGATAGATGAATGGGTAATAAGTACACAAATAGATGCTCATGATCATTAGTCATTAAGGAAATACAAATTATAACTACAATGAGATATCACTTCACACATATTTAGAATGGCTATAATAAAAAGACAGATGATAACAAAAGTTGGTGAGGATGTAGAAAACCAGACACCCTCATACATTGCTGGTAGTAATGCAAAATAGTGCTGATACTTTGGAAAACAGTTTTGCAGTTTCTTTAAAAGTTAAACGTATATTTGCCATATGATTCAGTAATTCTAGCATAAGGCATATATCAAAGAGAAATGAAAACATATGTCCACATGAAGACCTGCACACGAATGTTCTTAGCAGCATTATTCACAATAGCCAAACTAGTGAGTAGACAGACAAAACATTATATCCATAAAATGGAATACTATTTGGCAATAAAAAGTAATGAAGTACTAATACATCCTACAATATGGATGAATCTCAAAAATACTACACTAAGTAAAAGAAGCCAGGCATAAAAGACCACATGTTGTCTAATTTCATTTAGGTAAAATGTCCAGAATAGGTAAATTTGTAGACAGAAAGTAGATTAGTGGTTACCTGGGGCTGGGAGTGAGAACGAGATTAACTATAAATGAGCATGAGGGATCTTAGTGAGGGAGTGAAAATGTTCTAAAACTGATTATGTTGAAGGTTGAACCACTCAGTAAAGTTACTAAAAATAATTTAATTAAACACTCCAAATGGGTGAATTTTATAATATGTAAAATATATCTCAATAAAGCTGTAAAATAGGAAAATAACAGTAGGGGAAACTGGGTGATGGGTACACAGGAACTCTACACTAGCTTTGCAACTTTACTACAAATCTAAAACTATTCTGAGATAAAAATGTATTTAAATAAAAATTAACAAGAATATGTTTGTAGATTGATATCAGTATTTGGCAGTCCCTATCTATGTGAAAGACATTTAAAAAGATGAAACAGGTACAATATCATTACAGATCAGCGTTAACAGATGAACATTTGGAACAATATGATGATAGGGAACACTGTGAGCCCCAATTAAATAAAATGTTAGCCCCTCCAAAAAAGAATTCTATTATTCACACTAATACCCCTGTATTACAAAAAGTACTCTATTATTATATTTTGAATTTCATCAATAAACACTTGTTGAAATTTGTTTTCCCTCTTGTTACATAAGTATCTATAAATTATCCTGAATTTTGCTTTTTGGCCCACAAGCCTAAAATATTTACTAACTGGCTGTTTACAGAAAGTTTTCCAAGCCCTGTTCTACACCATAACAAGATAAATATAACATAATCAGTCTCTTTCTTGAATGTATTCTTATCATCACCTAGTTTTGGCATACTGCTCTTCTGGATATGCCCTATAAAGGATAAGCTTTGTATCTCTTTTGCTGTGGCACTATTTTGGATTTCCATAAATAGAAACACTATTAGCTTAATAATTCTAGCAAAGCCTCGATGCCATCGTTATTATCACGATATTAAAGGATCAATACTATACCACAGTATCAACATGACACTCATCAAGTTGTGATGTCACAAGGCCATGGACTCACCGAGGTCTCTTAGGTATTAAGTGGTTCCTATGGCATCACACTATGCCTTTGGCATCACCCTGGCACATCACCTTACTATAGTGTCATATGCTATTACTGCTGTGACAAAATTCTGTCTTGATTCCTCTCTGCCGAGATGTCGGAATAATTAACCCC